CTTCCAATGTGAGGCGAGCGGCGTGGGGGCGACCGTTGTCATGCAGGATGATGATGTTTCGTCCTGGACGTTTATCGTGCAATGCACGACAGAGCTTGTGCAGCATCTGGACATAACGAGCAGCATTGATGGTTAACCCAGGTTCCAGGAATTCGGCCAGAATAAACCCCTCTGCATCCCAGAAGACTGCCCATCACCTTCGCAGCTGATGGCACTGTCTTTGCCTTCTTTTTTGATGGAGAATGCAAATGGTACCATTCCATACTCTGCCGTTTCGTTTCAGGCTCAAAATGGTGAAACCAGCTTTCGTCACCTGTCACAATACAGAGCAAAAAATCATCGCCTTCGTGTCAGTATCTCTGCAGCAGTTTTGAGGTGATTTCTTTTCGCTGACCTTTGTGGTCTTCGGTCAATAACCACGGGACCCAACGAGCACAAACTTTCCTATAGCCCAAGCTTTCAATCATCTCCTGTACTGCACTGTGCCCTATTCCAAGTTCTCAGGCTATTGTGTCCACAGTCATACGCCTGTCATCTTGAATGATCTCACCCACTCTTTCCTTGTTGCATTCAGTTGAGGCTGTTCAAGGTCGACCGCTCTGAGGCTCATCTTCGATGCTGCTGTTCCCATCTTTAAAATGTTTCACCCATCTTCAAACACTGCTCACACCCATGCACACACTTCCATAAGCACGCTGAAGTCTCTGGTGAATTTCTGCAGCAGGGATTTCCTCTTTCACAAGAAATTCAATGACAGCACGCTGACAAAACAACATATGATTGTCAGCCATTTTGTTAGGAGTGATACTGGTCACGTGATGCAAGCTATTGATGTCACAAGACACTCAAGGTTAACACAACAGCTGGTTCCACCTACCACCATACTCTCTTTCATCTGCTGTTCCCAGGTTGCATGCAAAAAAATGTTGCTCATGACTTTCGGTATGACCTACATAAGTTGATGGCTGCAAGTTTTTGTCACTGGATCTGTATGAGAAAATTGTGATGACAGAAGCCCCTGTAAGAGAGGACAGGAAAGGGTGTACAGTGAATATCCCTCATGGTACCCACTGTTCAAGGGGCTAGGTGGGCCCAAAAGCTGGTCTGAACATCAAATCTCTTGCCCTTGCAGGGATTCCAACCCTGATTCCTTTGCTGTCCAGCTCATAGCCTAGCTGCAATACTGACTGAGCTATCCCAGATCCCCAAATTGACTCCATATTGTTGCTAATATATATATTGTAACAGTGACTGTTGAAGTGGAGTGCAAGTATTGCAGTAGTGTTTTTGGATCATCCTGAAGCCCTGTTCACAATGTTCTCCACCCCTCTGTTACGCAAGTGAAGTTATGTTATAAATTTTAGTGTTATTCTTTCTATAAAGTTTTATTTACTGTATGTCATGATATTTACAAGGACGGTGACAAACTATGCAAACAATTTGTACTTTCATTTGTAATATCTAAATTTTTTAAATATTTTCTAATATAATCTGATACTGATATTTGTTCTTTTTATACAGGAGGTAGTTGAGTTTGTTCGTCTACGTATAGGGAGTGGAATGCACCCAGAAAACATCTGTGAGGATTTAATGACTCGCTGCCTTGCACCAGATTGTCAAATGGGAGGTCTTGGCTGTGATAATATGACTGTGGTCTTGGTTTGTTTCCTGCATGGGCAATCCTATGAGGAGCTGTCAGCCCGCTGTGCCTCAACAGATCCCCCAGATGTAAAAGATTCCAAATAACCGTGTTGAGTCCATTTATCACACGAGTCCACATAGTTTGAAGTTGTCACTGTAGCTTGGACTTCATACCATTCTGTACCAAAGCACTGTATTATTCTACATAATGTTGCTGCTGATAAACCACAATATTTTGTTCCTTTGTTGTTTAGATAGCTATTTGGTGCTCACCAAGTAATGAAATGAGTAACAGAATCGTGGTTTTCCTTGACCACATTATCGTCTCATTTAAATGATCACCATTTCTTTCTACATATCAAATGTAATCATTTACAAGTGTTCATTTCACACATAGCAATTAATTAGAGTTAATTAGAATGACTTATTAATTGATTAGATTGGATGAAAGACCAATTAAGAACAATATGGTTTAGCGGCTGTAACCACTATTTTAGTCAACAGTACCATCTTCTGGAATGTAATGCTGTGTAGTCTGACGTTTTGGGGGCACATGTTGCTTCCCTCTTTAGGGTTGAAGAAGAGTAAACCAAGCAATATACAAGCTTGTTGCCCATTTCATCCTGGTTTCTTTCATAGCTTACTCTTCAACCCTGAAGATGGAGGCTGCAGATTTCAACCAATTGTCAGTTGATTTTTGAAGGACTACGCAGTTATATATCCCAGAAGACAGAACTCTTCATAACCACCTCTGAGAGAACCTCAGGCCCTACATGATTTTTTCTCTATTGCAACATGTTTTTATCAAAATTTGAAGCTCATAAGATTAACATAGCACATGTTTGATATGATCAGTTAAAGCATTTAAAGGTACTGAAATCATCTCAGGTGATCAGCCAGATTTAATGTAGTAAGTAAGTAAAGTAAAGGTATCCCTGTAACAGGCCGTGGAGGCTCATAGGGTTGTGAGATGTTGAGGCTCCCACATTTTCTAGACAATCGGCTCATAGATGGCGGTAAGGTGTCAGCCTTACATGCTGGCTGCCCTTTACCCCCAAGAATATTCCTGGTACTCATTTCTGTTAGAGGCTGAGTCGACCCCAGGGCCATAGTGTGGCTGGAAGGATTAGGTGAATTGAAAAAAATCAACCTCATCAGGATTCGATCCTGCAGCCCTCCATCTTGTAGCATAGTGCCTCAACCAACTATGCTACCACGTGTTCCTGATATAATATAGTTAAGTAGTAATGTTTCAGAGACTTGCTTGCTCTCCAAGATTGATATCGCAACAAAACAAGTCTCTGAAATGCTGGTGTCTAGCTAACAATGATGCATCTGATACCAGAGAATTTTAGTACATTTATTTGCTGTGGAAGTTTCAGCTCTTACAACAGCATTTAATTATGTAGTATTATTTTGTTCAGCAGTGGAATGCTTGCCTGTAATTCTGCAGGTCTCTGGTTCGACTCTCTGTAGAGACCAGCTTTTATGAACAGGGGTTCTCATGACTTTTTCCCATTCCTTTGATGGAAATTCCAGGACAGGACCTTTAGCTATATTCCAAAGTCATATCCTTTGTTACCCTACCTATCATTCCTATATTTTAATCAGTTGATACATTGTCATTAAATGAGACTGTGAGTTTGGGTGTACTTTGCAAAATTTTTATGTCTGATAAATTTTAAACAGCAATACATATATAATTACATTTAATATACTGTTCAAAATTTGGTTATGTGCATATAATCAAGTATTTGGTTCAGTTTGTACATTCTTTATTAAATGCAGAAACATTTATTTTATATATTGATTTTGTTTTAATGTAAACAAACAGTTTACAATATTCTTGAAGAATACTACCAGGTGTGCTCATGGACTTCATACCTGCGCGTTTGATGCATCATGAAACTTTATATTACTTCTTCTTCTTCTTCTCCTCCTCCTCCTCTTCCCCCCCCAGAAACAGTAAAATGTATTAATGCTTTCCTGTCCCTTTTATTTCTACCCTCAAGTCCACCAGGTACAATTAATTTGTAAAAAGTTGAAGAAAAACACTTTGGTATGGAAAGTATAATACTCCTGCCACCTGTTGTTCATACACACAGACCACTAGAAGAGGTGTCAAAGTATTTAACATAGATGAAACACTCAGCATATGATCACGATGTGATGTAAATTCATGAAAGTGGTGGCAGAAGGCTTCTGATAGAGGAGAGAAAATAATTGAGTCATGTTACTTAGTAAAATGTAATAGAGTTTGTGCTGTCACTTGCCTCAACCGTTTCGTTGCACCTTGAATAAGTGCAGTATGAAGATTATGTGCATATGGATAAGACCTGAAATCATGTAGTACAAATTTACACATTTTCTGAATGTGCATTTCTATTTCTTCTAAGAACAGAAATTTATATAAATAAATGGCTTGCTAATATTTGGTTGACCACAGTGAACTGAATCTGATAACAGTGATACTCACTGTCAGTTTGTGGTTAGTCATGTATGTGAGCAGTTCCTCTGACACTACACCTGTGACACCCCTTAGTGCAGTGAAATTTGAGAGAAGCCATTTCCTTTTCTGTGCAGAGTTCATACCTGTTAAGAATATTTGTGTTTATTTTCTTGATCTGTTTTATTGTATAAGAACATCTTGTGCCTGCATCACAACTTCTGTTATTTATATTCCTGTGAAAATGAAGTTTATGGTAAAATAGTTGTATGTTCTGTAAATTTGTACATTGACAGCCACATCTGCACACATAAACTCTCATATTGAAGTTTCTTACATTGAAGTATCAGACGTACTGTAATGAACCAGTGCTTAGTGATACACATTTTGATTCAAGTGCAATATGTAGTGTGTAATGATGATTAACGATAAGTTCTGTCTGTGATCTTCGGACTCGAGGACTTCAGATGTGGAAGTAAAATATTGATATAAATTTCATTTAATAATTTTAGTTTCCTTGTTAGCTTTTTTTTTTTTATTCTGTTACTCGTTGACCTGATGCTTCAATTGGAAATGCTGGGTATGGTGGTATTGCTGAAAGTGATATCACTGCAGTGAGTGGCTGTCCATAACTGATTAGTAGGGACCGGATTTTATGCCCTACTAATCCCTTAAATACAAATTTCTAAAATATCCACATAAAAAGTTCATACCAAATATTCAGATTGATTTTATGTTATTTTAAGATGAACAAATCAACATTCAAGTTAATTTTATGTAATCACTGAGTGATTCATTTGCAATGAAAAGCTATACTTAAATACAAATCATGCAAAAAAGCCAACATTTTTTCATTACAAGTTAAGAAAACCAGTGGTATTCACATTTAGCTCTCCAAGCTTTCATCTTCTCTTATGTTGCATTTCATAGTTACTAAATGTTTTAGGTTTTCCATAGTTAGTCGCCTCCTGTTGTTTCATAAGATGTCTTTATAGAAGGAAAAAGTTCTCTCCACCCCACAGGAACTTAAGGGCGCATGTACAGAAGCCGCAGTTTGCTCCACTGTTAGTGATATATTACTTGGTAGTTCAGTACATTTACTGGCTGAAATTTTTTCTTTCACAAATATCTTATTATCCTGGGGTTTTTAAAGAATGCTGTGTACTTTTTCCTTTACTACTTCAACTCTTGTAGGAGCCAAATTCAATTTGGAAACAGTGGTTTTGAATACACTTAACATTTGATACAAAGTAATATTGCTATTGCTTGCTTTTGGCATCACTACAAAAAGATAAAAAAACTTAACAACAGACTAGTCACCACTAATACGAATGACCCCTAGCTCCAAATGAAGAAGCGTAGCAAACCGGATGGAGAAGGTTGCACCATAGCTCAAGCGTTTAGTCACTGCCTTCCCACCGCAGAGGCCTGGGTTCGATCCCGGGTCTGGTCAAGTGGGATTTGTGGTGGACAAAGTGGCGTTGGGGCGGGTTTTTTTTTTCCCCCAAGTACTTTGGTTTCCCTTGCCAATATTCATTCTACCAAATTCTCCATTATCATAATCACCCGAGGCAGGCTACAAAAGGCCAGTCAGTGGCCGCTGTGCCAAGTGGACCTAGCTAGACTCCACCCTCCACTATGCAAATTAAAAAAAATGGATGGAGACTGCAGAAATGAATAAATGAAGTCCATTATTGGTTGAATAGTATTATGTTGCTAGTAGCTACATGTGAATACTCTTGCAACTAATTCCTTCGTAGCCACTTTGATGGTATATAGGTAAGGCAAGTTATGAGTAGAGGGATCAGGGAGCTCACATCCTGGGCACTGCATCAGAAACAAGAATCCAGACTCATCTTGCTAATTGTACGTTGAAATGTTGCGAGTCAAATATGTAGCATATCCTAATACAGAAAAGATAAATTGTATACACACGACAATGATTGAGAATTTGAACATGGAAGGTAAAGTTGTCCCTGTGCTTAACTAAGCACTATGCCATGAAGGCGTATGGGGGAGTGGATGTATAAGCCACATTTTCTTGACTTAGGCACTAGCTGGAAGTGAATGGTCAGCTTCACGCCCTGGCCGCTTTACCCCCGGGGAAAGGGCCCGTGGTGTCATTGGATAGGAGGTTGGGTGGTCCCCAGAGCCGGTCTGGACAACTTTGAAAAGAGAAAATTCTTGACCCTACCAGGATTCAAAATCCAACCCCTCCACAATCCAGCCTGTAGCCAATTGCTATGCTGACGACGCTACAGCGACTCCCTAAAAATTTGAACATAAAATTAAAATATATATATATATATAATGATAAACATTTTAAAAAGAAAATATGCACCATAGAGATCTTCGAATATAATATGCTTATTCATAAAACAAGCAAAATGTGCATTTATGTGCACCATCTAACCATGTCTAAAATTTAAGAAATGATGTAATTCATACATATATCCAAATGAGCATACTTTTTGATTTCAAGAAAGAAATTTGCATTTGCATTAAAATCCGGTCTCGAGTGATTAGCCACATCAGCTAAGTTTGCTGTATTTTTTATATTTTTAATGCCAGATGTTTATTGACTGCTTGCCTTCATTCGAACATGTCTTTCCTCTGAATTCAGTGAGCTCTGAAATGTTTTCAGTTTATGTGCCAAATGTATGGGTTCATAAAGCGCAACTAATTTTTACTAGTAGCAAGTAGGTTCTGATTGCAGTCTTCTGTGTTGTGTAGCCTTGTGTGCAGATACCAGCATGCTGCATCCATGTTCACAGTTGAAGTGTTTAGGCGAAGATATGCAGGGTTTTAGATGCAGGATGACAAGAATGTGGTTAATCCACCAAGTGGGAAAAGTGGGAATAGCCCTGTCTTGGCCAGTAGGAATGGTGCAGTGAACTGTGAGAAACTGGTATGTCATAGTGAGTGACATGGAGGATTGCCACTCTTTGCCATGGGAGGGGGGACTAGCCTTGTCCCGGACAGTAAGAATAAAGAGGCGTAATTGTGATAATCTGCCCTTTCAAATCAGGGCGAAACTGTCTTGTCGTTAGAAGGAGCCTTCAACTTTTCTTTCAATGTGTGAATAAGAACCCCTGAGGTCAACTCAGCCTCAAACAGGAATCAGTATGATTCCTGGGAGTAAAGGGTGGCTGACATGTAAGGCTGACCTCACCGCTGTACGTGAACCAGTTGTCTAGAAAATGTGGGAGTCTTAATGCCTGACAACCCTATTGGCCTCCACAGCCAGTTACAGAGATCCCCCCCCTTTCAGGAAGGGTCCATGCTCCCTGTTCATGTTGTTGAGGTAGAGATGAATCCCTGTCACTTCTCTTATTAATTGGTCCCTGCATCTAGAGTTCTTGACCAGGGTACTGATATCATTGTTCCTCACAAGCATTGGTATCCATTTGAAGGATTACACAGTAACTGCACTGCAGAAGGCCACAGTCTGAACACTTGACACCATAAAAATTAGAAAAGTTATATTACAGGTCG